GGGTTATTCATTTGCATGATCAGAAATGTATGAATGAATCACCCAACATAACTTATAGCACCATATTTGCACATGTTTGCACCCTTGTTTCTTAACTGTTTTGGCTCAAATTTGTGGTGTCTTGGCCTATTTTATGCTAGGTTGTGTTATTTTGTCATATTTCATGTCCTAGCGAATAAAGGGAGGCATAGGGCAAGTTTCGGGTCAATCGGAGGTCGTTTGGTCACTCAAAGCCTCTCAAAAGTGGAGCCGAGAATGAAATATGGGCAGACTCCCTAAAAATACGGTCGTAATTCACAAATTATCGCCATTATTTTTTATGTCGACCATGATGAAAAGGCTCAGGTGAGAATTACGGTCAAGGTTCCCAAAATTACGACCGTAATTCTCCAGCGTCTAGCTCGTATTTTTATGGCCGAGGCTAGCCCTTGAAGAATGTTGACGGAAAGCAAATTAAGGGCAAATGAAGAAAAAAATACAACCGTAATTTGCAAAATACTGTCGATAATTTTCAAAATAGTGCAGTTTTTTTCCAGACGCGACCATGGTTTTCCCCGTCTCCACTTAACCAAAACGAGCGTTTTGGGCAAAAAATACGTGCATAAGTGAATTACGACCGTTTTTCTGCCCGTATTTCTCCAAAAATCGGGTTGAAAGAGGCAGATTCGAGCCAAATGAAGGGGATTCAACTTTTTGGAGCAAAAACAGAGTTCTAGAGAGAGAAAGTGCGAAGAACAAGCCATAGGAGCTATTTATAGTGGATTCTCACCATTGAAGCCCAGATTGCATCCCTAGGAGTGAAGATTGACATTCCAGAGCAGATTATTCTCATCTTTATGAGTATGACTGCTTTGATTTCTGTTTTCTTCTCTCTTTATGAAGTTGACCTTTCTCTCCCGTGCCCCCTCAACCCCCTGTCGCGCCCTCCGTCTCCCCCTTCCTCCTCCTCCCACCACCACTGCCACGAGGACCCCGTTGCAAGGTCACAACCTCTGCTTTTCCTCTTTTTTTTCATATCTGTGATTTTTGGATTTCAGATCTGGTTTTTTTGTGTGTTAGTCTCTAGTGGTAGGGATTTTCATCTGGTACCGTACCAGTGGTAGTGGTACCACTACCACCACCACCACTAGTGGTAGCATACCACTATCGCGGGTAGCGTACCACTATTCACTGGTAGTGGTAGTGTATCCCTATTCACTTGAAAATCATACCACTAGCGCAGTGATGGAGTGGTAATTTTTTGCTGGTGGCTGGAGTGAGTCTGATTCAATGATTTTGCTGGAGAAAGTCTGTCAGTCAGAAAGTCAGCCGGTCGGAGTGGAGTGGCTGCTGGAAAAGGAAGAGAGAGAATTTTATTTTTGCTAGGATTTAAATTTAAAAATAAAGCAATGTATTTAATATGAATTTTAAATTCATAGAATGTAATTAATCAAAAAAAATTATTAAGATTATTTTTTCGACTATCCAAATTGCCCTTAGTTGTAAAACTCACAACCCTCTTCGGGAAGTGACGTTATCTCACCCCCCTTAACTGATGTAGTTTAGTTGCAACAAACACAAATTAGGTGGTTAGTGGTGGAGATGGGATTGAAAAGTACATGTGTCCTCTTTTTAGAAGATCAATATATTAATAAAGATAATTAAAAAGAATATTATCCATATAATTCATTCATAGATAATAAAGAAATAATTAACTAATAGAATTATTGTTTTCATAAATAATCATAACGTGTTTTCATATTTTGAAAGAAAGGCAAAACAAATTTGTTGTCTACACTCTTAGGTATAGGTGTCAAAACAGAACCCGATCCGACTAATCCCCCTGATAAACCCGATCGCAACCTGATTTGACTAAAAGTCCACAACCCGTAACCCGATTAACCCGCAACCCGACTGACCCACAACCTGATTAAAACCGCAATTTGACTAACCCGAACCCGACTAACTCGCAACCCGACCGACTCAATCCAAACTTCACCTAATCCATTAGAATAAATATTATATTATATAATACATAGTTTTTCAAAATAAAGTTTTTCATTCTAAACTTAGGTAAAATTATTTCTTCATTTCGTATAGGAAATTTAAAAATATGTATTTTAAGAAAATTATAAAAATTGAAACATGAAGGTCACTTGAACACTAAGTTTTTTTTGTGAGAATATATTTTTTTCACTTGAAATATAAAATCAGCACAATGTGAATATTAATAATGAATAATTAATAATTGAGATCATGGATAATATTGATCTAATATATAAATTAAAATTTTGTTTATTTTAACTATTCAATAAAATTATCAATTAAATATAAATAAAGTAAAGCAATTTATTTGATAATTTGATGCTTTTAAAATAATAATAAAAAATTGGTGTATTCAACTTTTTGGGAAGAGAAAGAAGAGGGGAATTAAATTCTTTTAATTTTTTAGAAAAGAAAAAGAGGTAATTTTGTTGGTTTTGATTTGAGGGAAGGAAAGAAATGGAAAAGTTTGGTTCTTTTAATTATGAAAAAGAAATAAGGAGGAAAATTTTGAGTTTTCAACTTTTTGTTAAAAAATTTTGAGTTTTCAATTGGAAGAGAAAGAGGAGGGAGAATTTAGTGTTTCTAATTTATGGAAGGGGAAAGAATGATGAGAGTTTTAGTATTTTTTTTCTTAAAAGGAAGAAGAAAACAAATTTGGTGTTTACAACAATCATTTATTTTAGAAAAATTCACTTAATTTGTCTACTTTTTTCTATGCTTCTACATTTATTGCAATTTCAATACTACATGATCGTTATTTTACAACACTTATTAGAATTTTCGCACATTTAAGTTGTGCTCAAGTTGAACTTTCATTTCAAATGGGTGTTAAACTTGGTCTGTTAAGTCTTACGATTGCAATAACTCAGTCGGGTTGTGAGTTTGAAAATTTTGGTTAATAATCGAGTTGCAGGTCAGTTTGGAATGGAAAATGAGAGGGAGGTTTGGATGGGAATTTTGGAATGGAAAATTTATGGGCGGGTGAATATGAGCTAACAATTATACTAAACTTGATAAGTAATTTTTGACGGTTCGTTGTTTAGGGTATAAAGTATATGGTTAGGGTATAGGTATAAGGTACAGATGGTTTAGGGTATATATGGTTAATTGGTTAGGGTATAAGGTATTGATGGTTTTGACGGTTCTAAGTTTTTTATTAACATATGTTTACTTGAAGTCGTTGAAAATCTTTAACGGCTGGAGATTCCTTTTTAATTTATGTTTATGGTACGTGGTTAGGGTATAGAGTATATAGTGTAGAGTATAGGATATATGGTTATGGTATATCAAATATCACTTTTTTATCTATGTTTCAAAAATTAAAGTACGAATTTCACTTTAAATTAACTATACTAGCAAAATCACAACTCATAGGGATTTAGGGTATAAGATATGTTGTTAGTGTATAGTATATTGATAGTTTAGGGTATACGATCAACAACATATATTAACTTAGGCTAAGTGTATAGGATATATGTTACTGAGTAAGTTATGATTGAAGTCACAAAAATTTTACTAAATTTGATAGTTAATCTTTAATGGTTCAATTTTTAGGGTACTTCGAACAATTTTACAAATAACTCGTTTGGCAACAGTTTATTGCAGTTATTAGGTCAATGTATTATTTTGAAATCAAATACCAGATTGTATGGTTATACTAAACGAGATACTTTAATCCAATTACTACTGAAATAATATTAAAATACCAAATAAATAATTAATGGTGTCTTTTGGTTGCAGATGTTGATATAACCATTACTTTTAGCTTGTGTACTTTACCAATTACGATTAATTACATAACAAGTTTGCAAGTCATATAAATTGATTCACCATTTTGACTAGTTTTTTTAAGATTAAGTATATATACGAGGTAGAAAGAAATTGATTAAAAATTGAGAAAAATATTTTAAATTAGTGTAATAAAATGTGTAAATTGGTAATGATTAAGGAGTAAGTTACTAGATGCGGCGACCCTAACAACCCACAACCTGATCTGTCCGCAACCCACCCGACCCAAAACCCGATGAACCCATAACTCGATTTGTTCGCAACCCGATTGAACCTGAACTCGATGAAACCGCAATCCGACTAACCCATAACCCGTTTGAACCCGAACCCGATGAACCCGAACTTGTTAATTAAACCCGCAGCCCGATGAACCCGCAACCCATTTGAACCTGTACCCGATTGAACCCAGCCCGAACCCGCCCGATTGAAACCTATACTCTTAAGTCAGTCTTTTTCAATGTATCCAACTAAAACATCATTGGCAAATTGGTTGTCAATTCTACTTCGCAACTTATTTTTAATATAACTCAAAGTTGAAAATCTTGCGGTTGCAACGAGTAGAGTTGAAACTAACTTCATAAGTAAATAAATTGACCTATATGACATATGTACTTTTGTCTTCACCATTACTTGAGATGATTCATAACTCCTTTCTATCCAAGAAAACCTCTCATTAGCCATAACATCATGATAATACCCCGTCTAAGAAAGATATCGATTTTGGGTTATATCAATTGAGATTTTTGTTTAAAAGTTACATTAATTTTATGTTAGTTATTAAATAAGAAATGACTTGTATTGTAGTGGTACAATATTCTTACATCATCTCAAGATCATCAGTTTGATTCTTTATTTCTATATGTATGAGGTATTTTGGTTTTATCCTAAAAAATTGCCTGTGTTATGTGACAAATCTCATAGCCCTAGCTCCACCAATACAAGTGGTTAGTATGGAAAACACACAAGTTTAATTTACTAGCAATTTAGCATAGCATGTGAGGTGTGACTGTACGTATCACCGGGCGGCACGGTTAGAGCACGGTACGAGCACGGGTACGAAATAAATGGGCCAGTCCGGCACGAGCACGAATAATTTATGAGCTGTGTCGGGCCTAAACTTCATGGGCACTGGCACAAGAACGGGCACGACACGGTATATAAGTTGGCCGTCTCGGGCCTAATATTTTCGAGACTTTATTGAGTATAAAGAGCGGACATGGCACGAATATAATATTTATTTGATAGAAAATAAATATAAAAAGACATAGGTTCAAATATTGCAAAACACAAGTAGAAAAATAATTATGTGTTGTTGTTAGAAGTGTCATAAAGATATATACGTAATTACTAACATAAGTAAAAATGGACAAAGAATTAAACAAAGCCAAATCACACTCGCTATACTTCCAATTTTCTTTTCCCCTTATTTGTTATTTTTCTCAAACATTATCGGTTAATACTATCTTTCCCGTCCAATTTTCACCTTTTTTTTCATTCTCTATTTTTTTCGTCATTTTCATTAAACACGGATACAAGCATGACACGAGCACGAATAGGCACGACACAATTCGAACCGTGCCCGGACCTGGGCCTGGCCTAGCAAAATTAACAAATATACTGGTATGACACGACACGAAAACTGACGAACCATATCAAGCACAACACGAAATAAATGAGCTCAAAACGAGCCTATGCCGTGCCGATCCAAGCACGGCCCAGCGCCCATCTACAGCTGTGACCCTCTCGCCTGACATTTTCTTTCCTCCCTTTCCCGCGCTGGCCTACAACTATGAAGAGAGCCGCCGGGTCCTACGAATACAAATTTTCGTTAAAAGTAAGAGGCAAATCATAATCATACCAAATTATTATTTAATTGTTAGAGTAGCAGCAGCACACAGTCCCCATCCCATCCCCACACAGCAAACCAAGTGGAGATCAATCAAATATTTGTTCTTATCGTTTCCATTTCTAAGCGATCCAACCAGGAAAAAAAAAAAGATGACCAAATGGAGAAATCAAATCTTTTCTACTGTTTCTTCTTCGCACTTTCATTGTTTGTTAATCACTATTTAGAAACAGATATAATTTCATTGAAAAGGTCCAATTCTTCCAGCGGTGTAACCATTAACCAAACCAAACCAAATTATTGATGGGATTAACTTGCTTCTTCTTAAACCCCATCCCCCTGGGCCCTGTTTCTCTGCCCACTTTCCTTCTTCCTTTCCCCTGTAGCTTTCTTACAATAAAACCCTCCACCGCCGCACCTCAATTTGCTCTCTCCATAAATTCCAATTTCTTCCCCTCATCTGTCTTATATTCAATTCCCCAAAAACCCAATTCCTCCAAAACCCGAAATTCGGAAACCCCCCAGCAGATCCTGGATTTCAATTTGCCCAATCCACCACCGCCGCCGCCATGAAATCGAAAGCAGGGCAGAACAGGAACGTGGTCCTCAGGATAATAACTTGCCCGATTCGGGCGCTGGGCAGGGCCAGGGATCTCTACGTCAGAAGCCTCACGGGATGCGGCACCGTCGCCACCCATAACCCCAGCCGCCGCCGCCGCGTCCCTAATTACCACACCACCCACTTCACCTCCTTGCCCCGCAGCCTCAGCGCCGCCGCCTCCACCTCCAACGGCGGCGGTGAGGACCTCCGGGAGCTCATGAGGGCCGCCTCGGCACGGGTATACGGCCACAAGAACGAGGCCGAGATGTACGCCGAGCAGCTCCGGCAGCAGGAGAGGGAGGCCAACAGAGTGGCCGCCAGTGTTCTGCCGAAGAGTGTCAGCGTCGGGATGGGGTTCATGGGGAGGATCGACGAGGATAAGGCGTGTGAGGAGTTCGAAGAGGACGCCGCCGATGGATCCTCCTCCTCCGCGGCCGGCGCCGGCGAAAGAGACGTCGGCAAGAAGGTTGAGAAGTACCCGCGCAGCAAGAGCTACGCGCCTGCTTCCAAGCGACTTGGCGTTTTCTAGGTGGCCGTATTTTTAGTTTTACGGCAAGCTAGTTGTTGCAACTTTGCCTGCCAGTTTGGTTTGTAGTTTTGTACAGAGAGAGGGATGAATTATTAATGGCGGCGGCTATCTTCTCTTCTTCTCCCATTGTCAACCGTGGCCAACACTTATTATTATTATTATTATTATTATTATTATTATTATTAGTTTATTACAATTGGATCTCTCGAAAGAGGTACAAAATACACGTAAATAATATTACTGAAATTAGATCAATTCAGTCAATTGTGAGTAAATTTCTCAAAAGAGAATGAGCAAATCCAATCAGCAATAGCATTAAACTTTGTAGGGACAAACTTGATCTTGATTTGAGTGTTTTAGAGGATTGAGGCCAAGGATCTCATCCAGGCAGCACCCCCTCCAAGGCCATTTAGACTTGTCCTCCGAAGGAGCATGCACCAGAACTTGACACTTAGACATGACAATGCATTCGTCACTATATTTTTGAGCTAATTTGAGACCTTCCAAAAGCGCTTTCGTTTCTGCTTCAAACGGGGTAAAACAAATGAAAGTGTCACCTCGTCTATCAATAACTTGTCCATGGTGGTTAACAAACACAACCATGAACACAGAAGAGTTTATTGCCATTTCTGAGCTCGCTGTGTCTGGAATACAATATTTCAATTCTTCAAATACTAAATTCATTTTCAAATTGTTTCAACTTCAACTACATATAGTCTTTCAATACAAAAAAAGAAAATGTTCAAATATATGATGTAAAGTCATACAAATAATGTAACTAATGCCGTGAAGGGAATTAGTTGATGGCATTTGATCGGGAAGTATCAACCACTACAAAAATCATGCACTCCAACCGGTGGGGGGAAAATGGTACCAAGACCAAGATCTGTACGAACGACAGTGTTGCAAAATCTTATCATATTATTTGTTCGACTGAAAAAGTCATCCATCAGAGCTTAATTAGCGTTCAAAACCAACTTTCTCTTTCATGAGTTTCACCCTACCATTTTCAATCAAAACCAATAAATCAACCTATTTTTTTTGTCGACAATTAAAGAGGATTAAAATTGCAAGAATAACTTCGAAATTAAATGACGTTTTGATTGGGTCAACGCTTAATTAGTATGTCCAGTAAGTAGTTGGGTCACCATTTAAAAACCAATTAGTAGTCTTTCAATATTAAGGGCCATAAAAGGATTGTATTAGGAAAAGAATCAGTACAAGGATCATGATAGGAAAAATGTTTATAATTCAGGATCAAGTATATCATTAACTCTTTTAGTTTCTAAAGAGATTCAAGATCAAATATCCAGACTTTGATTGCAGAATAAAGAAGTACGTAGAGTTAATAAGAAGAACCAAATTGTAATACATATAGAAGTTGAGGGAGTTAGTAGTTGTTGTTGGCTTATATTGAGAGTATACATAACCGGGCCCACTCATGTAACGGGTATCTATCAGGGTCCATGAAACCGTATCGCATCGGCGATTCAACCACAAAATACCAGTATTGGAGGTTAAACCAATATGCGGCAATTAACTGTACTAACTGTTGGAATATGGTTAAACTACGGTTTTACTAAATTACCTTACTGCTGACTTTTCCCGTTCAGTCTCCAGTACGGTTTCATGGACCATGGTACCTTACTGCTGACTTTTCTCGTTCAGTCTCCAATACGGTTTCAAAAGAATCAACAGAACCCCCTCTCTCTCTGGCTCTGCCTTTACTCTTCTTTTCCCTCCAGTTCTCAACTGCTCTCCCTGCAACTCAAGCTCGAGCTCACTTCGTCCGCCATTCAAGTTGTGATACGATTCAGAAGTTGCCTCCCACAATTGTTTCCAAAGCCCTCAATCAAAAGGAACAATGTTATACAAATAAATGATTAGATGGCTGGTAATAAAAATCACAATATGTATAATCATTTGAAACGTGAAAACAGGGATAACTGCATGCATCATCACTCTAATTAATTAATTTATTTATTTATAAAGACACAATCTGCAGTCGGCTGGCCCCTGATCTTACCAGAGAAGTCTCACTTGTGTGGTGGAACATGTGCTTCATATTATATTTTAGTTTCAGAGAGCAATTGATGAATAAAATGCGAGCAACTTTTGGCCTTCTGAACTACCCAAACCATGAGACGGCCATCATTTCTTCTTCTTCTTCTTCTTCTTCTTCTTCCTCACCTCATCATACTAAGCTGCTGCTTCCCATGGCTACCCTTTTCTGCCTCGCAAGCAGCAGTGGAGTACCTTCCAGGCTTTGATGGCCCGCTGCCTTTCTATTTCGAAACTGGGTATGAAGCAAAAATACATGCTTGCTTTCTTTTCATCTGATGAACTATACTGACTTCCAATTGCTCTGTTTGCTTTGCTTTAAACATTGAAGGTACGTGGGCGTGGGAGAATGGGAGGACGTGCAGCTGTTCTACTACTTCGTCAAGTCGCAGGGGAAACCTGAAACGGACCCTCTTCTGCTTTGGCTCACCGGCGGGCCCGGCTGCTCTGCTTTGTCTGGCCTCTTCCATGAAATCGGTAACACATGTCTTCAGTTTCCTGTTTGAAGAATGCCTGCGATATTCTAACAACCTTTTTGGAAATCTGTCTTGTAATTAGGCCCAATCCATTTCAAGCTAGAGGAGTACAATGGGAGTCTGCCCTCCTTGATCCTTAACCCCGACGCATGGACACAGGTGTCACCAAAAAAACAAAAAAACTGCTGGACCCTTCCTTGATCAACAATTTGCTTCTTTGATCATTATCATTTGGTTTACAGGTGGCAAGTATCATTTTCGTGGATCTTCCTGTTTTGACGGGATTCTCCTATGCAAGAACAGAGGCTGCAGCTCTATCCAGTGACAACTTAGACATAGACCAAGCTGTGGAATTTCTCAGGAAGGTAAACAAGGACTTCCATTGTCATTGTTAGGAGGAGTTAATTTAATCTCTCCTAACTTTGTTCCATAATTACCATCACCGATATTAGTAAGAATCGATGCAGTGGCTAAAAGAGCATGGAGAGTTCAAATCGAATCCAATTTACATCGGTGGGGACTCCTACGCTGGCATTCATATCCCAGGCGCAGCTCTTCGGATCTCTAATGGTATATATGCTAACGCTGTATTGGTAACAAGCTCTTCAAGTTTCCTATGTACCGAAATTTTATCTTCTTGAAATTTTGTTCTCAAATAATCAGAGAATGAACAAGGAATCCAACCGGTGATCAATCTCGAGGGTTATTTGGTGGGTAACGGTCGTGCCAATACTACCATCGAACAAAATTCCAAGATCAAGTTCGCTCACGGGATGGCTCTCATTTCGGATGAGCTTTATGAGGTTCCTATCATCGGATCGTTTATGTTACGTACGCTTGTTTGAAACAACAAAGTTCTGTTTGTTTGTTAAACTTGCCGATTTGGTGCAGTCGTTGAGAAGAAGTTGCGGCGCGGAATACTACAACGTAGATCCTAGCAACTCCGAGTGCCTCAAACATGTTCGAGATTTTGAAAAGGTACCCACCAAACCCCACCATCACAGTTTGTCGTAAAATTCCAAAATTGAATTTGAATAAGCTAATCACTAATTGGCTGGGGGGAATCTTGTTTAGTGTACATCAGGACTCTACATAGCGCAGATCTTGTCACCCGAGTGCACTTATCTCTCGCCAAAGCCGACGATGATGGTACCAAGAAGATCAAGGTCTCTTGAAGAGTTGTTGGAATTGGAGGCAGAGTCACTTCCTAGAGTTGGCTGCCCTGTATGTAAAACGCTCTTTTAACCTTCACTTCACTTGCAAACTTGTAGACTTTTTCTCCCCTTCTTTGCGACTTAATACATATTTTAGGGTTTATGTTCTTCGTGCAGACTTTTGCATACCTGTTGTCCAAGTACTGGGCCAATGATGAATCCGTCCAGAGTGCTCTCCACGTTAGAAAGGTGTGTGTCACTATCACTACCCTGTTTTTGGTTTGGATTGAAACACTGAGAGGGAGACTGCGTTGATTTTTCAATCAACAAGGATAAGTGCGTCGATTTTTGGTGCTCTGCAGAAGGCGACTCTGAGTTAAGAAAGAAGTTTGATGCATTGACGGTGTAAACATCGCGTAAATTGTACGAATTAGAAACTAGAGAGAGATTAGGGATTTTTCTTCTTCATTGATTGTTTATAACGTAGAGACAAAGAACTATATAAACAATCAAAGCCCTAAAACTAATTCTAATCTACTTGACCAATTGCTTGGCCACCCCTATACTCCTAATTCCACCCGGCCTCTACCACTGTTGGCCCCAAACTATCCTAAACTATTTAAGATTGGTGTTTGTCTTGTTGGCCCTACCTTATCTGATTATTTTGCTGGTCTTCAGTTTGGGGTCGGGGTTTCTGGTGGAGGAGAGGCTATTTTGCATGCCTTGAACCGGTTCGTTGAGGCCCGCGGTGGTGACGTAGGTCTTTCTATGTTGTTGGTCGATTTCCAGAATACTTTCAATTTAGTTGATCGTGAGGCCATGCTTCAGAAAGTTCGTCGTCATTGCTCGGTCCTGTCCCGATGGGTAGAGTTCTATTACTTTAGCCCTGCCCGACTGTATTATGGGATGCATAGCTTATGGTCTTGTCAGGGGGTTCAATAGAGAGACCCTTTGGGCCCTTTGCTTTTTGCTTTGGTGTTGCATCCTTTAGTGTGCAAGATCAGAGACTCTTTTGATTTGAGTATGCAGGCTTGGTATTTGGATGATGACACTGTTGTGGGGGATGCTTTGGTTGGTTGGAAGATCTTGGACATGATTATGGATGAAGGCTCTCGAGTTGGCCTTCATCTAAATGTGGGTAAGACATAGGTTTTTGGCCTACTGAGAATCCTAGGAGTCGGCTTCCAGGTGTTTTTCCTGCCTATATCGCTCGGCCTCCACACGGTGTCACCATTCTGGGTGGTCCTGTCAGTTCTTGTCCCGATTTTAGCAGTGAGCTTGTGGCGAAGAGAGTTACTAAGACCATTGAGCTGATGTACTTGGTTGCTAGGATTGATGACCCACAGTGTGAGTTGCTTTTGCTTCAGGCCTGTACTGGTATTTCTAAACTCTACTTTGCTTTGCGTACTTGCTCCCCTCTTATTTTTGGCTCGGCCCAGCTATCTTTTGACACAACACTTAGGTCTAGTTTAGAACATATTGCCGCTGCTTCTGGACCCGGGTTTGGTGATTGGCAGTGGCGGCCTATCACCTTCCCTTTTCATTTGTGTGGGCTTGAGGTTTATGCTGCTGGAGATGTCTTGCATTATGCCTTTTTGGCGTCTCGTTTGCAGTCTGCAGAGTTGCAAGCTAAACTCCTAAGTCTTTCTGGTATTCTATCTCCTGGCTTGGCTTTTGATGACGCCCTACGCACCTTTAACGAGTTTACAAGTTCTGATCTCTTACATGACCCTAGTGGAGTTGCTGCCCCAAAACTTATGAAGAAATTGGCAGATATGTATTTCGCGAAGGTTGTTACTACTTCAGATTATGTTTTCTCGTTGACTACACGTCAGGTGGCTTTGTGGAAGTCTCAACAGAGTGCACACTCTTCTGACTGGTTGTGTGCTATTCCTATTGCTGGGTTGGGCCAGACTATGAATGGGAGGACATATCATAGTGTGCTTAGCTATCGACTGGGTGCCCCGTTGTTTTCGC